AGCTGGGACTACAGGCGCCCGCCACCTCGCCCGGCTAGTTTTTTGTATTTTTTAGTAGAGACGGGGTTTCACCGTGTTAGCCAGGATGGTCTCGATCTCCTGACCTCGTGATCTGCCCATCTCGGCCTCCCAAAGTGCTGGGATTACAAGCTTGAGCCACCACACCCGGCCAGGATTTTTTTTTTTTTTTTTTGAGAACAAATCTCGCTCTGTCGCCCAGGCTGGCATGCAGTGGCACGATCTCAGTTCACTGCAACCTCCGCCTTTGTGGTCCAAGCAATTCTTGTGAGAAGCTGGGATTACAGGCGCAAGCCACCACACCCAGCTAATTTTTGTATTTTTAGTAGAGACAGGGTTTTACCATGTTGGTCAGGCTAGTCTCGAACTTCTGTCCTCAGGTGATCCACCCGCCCTGGCCTCCCAAAGTGCTGGGATTATAGGCGTGAACCACAGCTCACGGCTCAGGAAATATTTAAGTCAATGAAAGAACGTGCTTCAAGATCACGAGTGACATACTAAAAGAGGTCGAAAACATACCTCAGATATGAAAAAATGTTTGGAAAAATTACTACAAATGTGCTAACTCCAGTCCATCTGAGTTAGGTCAGCTATGCAGATGCAGCCACGCCTCTGTCAATCACACAGGCACCTGGCTCTGTTTTCCACCAGAGTAAGCAGAGTCCAAGATGGTCTCTCCTGTTTGGGATTTAATTTTCCTAAATATTTTTCTGCTATGCTCAAATTCTAGCATTACTACTTTTAGGTTGGGAAGGAGAAACTTCATTTAAAAAACAGAATGTATACTTATTTGTTTAAAAAAATAAGTGGCCGGGAGCAGTGGCTCATGCCTGTAATCCCAGCACTTTGGGAGGCCGAGGCGGGCGGATCATGAGGTCAAGAGTTCCAGACCAGCTTGACCAACATGGTGAAGCCCCGTCTCTACTAAAAATACAAAAATTTGCCAGGCGTGGTGGCAGGTGCCTGTAATCCCAGCTACTCAGGAGGCTGAGGCAGGAGAATTGCTTTAACCCGGGAGGCAGAGGTTGCACTGAGACGAGATTATACCACTATACTCCAGCCTGGACAACAAAGACAGACTCTGTCTCAAAAAAAAAAAAAAAAAAAAAAAAAAAAAAATCAATCAATCAATCAATCAATCCTAGGCGGGCACGGTGGCTCACGCCTATAATCCCAGCATCTTGGGAGGCTGAGGCGGGCGGATCACCTGAGGTCAGGAATTTAAGACTAGCCTGGCCAACATGCAAAACCCCATCTCTACTAAAAATACAAAAATTATCCGGACATGGTGGCACACACCTGTAGTCCCAGCTACTCTGGAGGCTGTGGAGGAAGAACTGCAAGAACCTGGAAGGCAGAGGTTCCAGTGAGGCGAGATTCTGCCATTGCACTCCAGCCTGCATGACAGAGCAAGAAAAACAAAAGCACCTGCTCAGAGGCCAGACCCTCCTGGAGCTTTAGCCACTGTGCGGACTTCATCCCTGACCTGAGTTTCTGATGGGGATGTGTGAATTTGAGGGTGTGATTTGTGGACTTCATCCCTGACCTGAGTTTCTGATGGGGATGTGTGAATTTGAGGTTGTGATTCAGCACGATCCAGGACCTTGGATCACACAACCCATTTAATGATAGCGATCTCAAATTAAAACAAGCATGTTCTAGCTAGGCCCGTAGCGCCTGCCTGTGGTCTCAGCTATACTTGGGAGGCTGATACAGGAGGGTCTCTTGAGCCTGGGAATTTGAGGCTGCAGCGAGCTGACTGCACCACTGCACTCTTGCCTGGATGACAGGGCAAGACCCTGTCTCAAAAAATAAAACCCCAAAACGAACAAAAACAAACTCAGGGAAGGCCGTCACCTGTGGTGGTCTCCAAGTGCTCTGTCCCTGGGCTGGAATGGAATGGGATGGGGGTGGGTACCCCAGCCCATTCAACTCCTGAGACCGCTCTGGTTTGAGAGGAACAGCATGTATGCCCTAGTTTCCAGCTGAACACACACGTGGGCTTGTTTCTGCATGAGAGAAAAATGAACACAGCGCTCCCGCCCATGGAGCATTCACGATTTTAAAAACCTGCCCTTTATGGTGAAGCCCTAACAGGAGTCATCTCACACCACATGCTTCCTCCTCCATAGAGGCTCCGGGAGAAGATGACTTCCAAAACAGACCGGAGGGCGCAAGTTTGAGTCCTGTCCTGAAACCAGGTGAGCGCTCCACAGCAAGGCAGAAAGGAGAAGCCCTTCCCTGGGCGGGGCGGCCCAGCGCTCCCAGCCAGTGAGGACGAAACACACACAAACATGGCCTGAGCCTGTGCCCCTGCCCCGGCCCGACCGAGCCCCCCTGCACGGGGCGCTGGGTCCATCCAGGATGCCCACTCTCCCCATGGCCTCCTGAGGGAGGGACTGGTCCTGGATTCTGGAGGGTTCTCCTGTGGGTACACGACAGAGCCCACATGGGAACACCAGGGATGCAAGGGAGAGACGCATGCGGCCACAAAAGGTCCCAGTGTTTGGGAAAGAGACCTTTTAAAAACTTCAGGCCGGGTATAGTGGCTTATGCCTGTAATCCCAGCACTTTGCGAGGCCGAGGTGGGAGGATCACCTGAGGTCGGGAGTTCGAGACCAGCCTGGCCAACATGGTGAAACCTCATCTCTACTAAAAACACAAAAATCAGCCGGGCGTGGTGGCACGCGCCTACAGTCTCAGCCACTCAGGAGGCTGAGGCAGGAGAATCACTTGAATCCAGGAGGTAGAGGTTGCGGTGAGCCAAGATCACGCCACTGCCCTCCAATCTGGGTGACAGAGCAAGACTCCGTCTCAAAAAAACACACACACATCCCAGGCAGTGGCTCAAGCCTGTAATCCCAGCATTTTGGGAGGCCCAGGTGGGCAGACCATGAGGTCAGAAGGGGATGTAGGGATGGGACAGCCCCACAGCAACACAGGCTGAGAGCCATGCCCAGAAGATGCACCTGGGTTGCAGAGGTGCTGAGAGCGGGGCCCTGGGTGCTTGGGGGACTGAGGACCGTCCTGGGGCCTCAGGAGCTGCACCTGGCTTTCCCTGCAGACACCACTCAGGATGAGACTGGTCTAGTGTCCTGCCGAGGTGCAGTCTGTGGCCTAAGTGGGCGCTGGGAAGAGTCTCTCTCCTCGGCCTCCTTGGCCGGCAGCGTCCAGGCCTGCACGGATGGAGCTGCTGGAGGCTTGCAGCCAGGCCCGAGCAGTTCCGTGGGGGGCAACCACCAGCGACCGGCAGCTGCGGCTCTCGGGCAGGAGTCACTGCGGGTCTGGCCGCCGGGCCACCTCCCGCATCGACGCGGGCCCTGATGGTGCCGGGGTCCCACTCCGAGTCCCCAGAGTGTGCCCATGCAGGCACTGCAGCGAGGGCCCCCACCACGTGGCCCCAGCAGCCCTGTCCTCCTGATCCCATGCTCAGCTCCCCCACCACACCCTGGACAGCAGAGGATGTAGGAGAGGAAGGGGTGGGCTCCAGGCCCGGGCTGAGCTGAGCAGGGCCCATCCTCACTGTACCCCCAACCCCATCCCACTCCACCCCAGCCCAGGGACAGAACTTGGAGACCACTACAGGTGGCGGCCTTCCCCATGTCCCTCACTGTCACTGTCAGGAGAGGCAGGTTTGGGTCCCTTGGGCGCTGGTGGCCATGGAATGTGGGACTTCAGCACATCCCATCATTCACCAAGCGTCTCTGCAAGCAAAGCTCTACACAGGTGCGGCAGGCGCCCCCACCACCCCAACCTGTCCCCAGGGGCTGAAAGGGACCAAGGACACACAGCCCAGCCCCTGGCACTGTCCCGCCCCCAGCTCTGGCCCCGCTGGGCTTCTGGAAGAATCTGCCCCCCAGGTTCTGGGCTTCCAGCCAGGCCCGGACGGGTCCCCACAGCCCAGCTCCATCACGTGTCTCAGTGCCCAGTGACTCCCTCCAGCTAAAGGCCTCCCAAAGCTGCCAGCCCAGGTGCTCAGAGCTTTGCCCCCGACTCCAAGCCTTCGCCGGGCTTCCCACCCCATCACTATCCCCCACCTTCAGTGCCCTCACTGGTCCACAATCCCTACTTTCAATTCTTTTTTTGAGATGGTCTCACTCTCTCACCCAGGCTGGAGTGCAGTGGTGCAATCACAGCTCACCACAGCCTCGACCTCCTGGGCTCAAGTGATCCTCCCACCTCAGCCTCCCAAATAGCTGGGACTACATATGTGCGCCACCATGCCTGACTAATTATTTTATTTTTAGTAGAGATGGAGTCTCACTATGTTGCCCAGGCTGGTCTTGAACTTCTGGGCTCAAGTGATCCTCCTGCCTCAGCCTCCCACAGCACTGGGCACACAGGCAGCCAACTCCCACGCCTCCCATCATCTGTCAGCAACCTCCCTGTTCTCAGTCCCTGGGCCGGGCGGCGCACACTCTGCCTGGCTCCCGGGAGGCTCCTCGTCCCCAGTGCCCGTGGCACCCAGGCCAGGAGCCTCTCTGAGCCAGAGCTTGTTTTCTTTTTTTTTTTTTTGAGACGGAGTCTCGCTCTGCCGCCCAGGCTGGAGTGCAGTGGTGTGATCTCAGTTCACTGCAAGCTCCGCCTCCCGGGTTTACGCCATTCTCCGGCCTCAGCCTCCCGAGTAGCTGGGACTACAGGCGCCCGCCCCCTCGCCTGGCTAATTTTTGTATTTTTAGTAGAGACGGGGTTTCACTGTGCTGGACAGGATGGTCTCGATCTCCTGACCTCGTGATCCGCCCGTCTCGGCCTCCCAAAGTGCTGGGATTACAGGCGTGAGCCACCGCGCCCGGCCTACCAGGGCTTGTTTTCACAGCCCATGTGCAACACAACCAAAGTGACAAAAGACCGAAGACATGTCTGGCTTCTTTACAAAAATGGCGACTCTGTAACATGTCCTGAAATAGAAGCGCTGTTCCTGAAAAGCTACAGCAGGAGAACAGAAGGAGGTCAGGGAGAAAGGAGGATGGTGCCGGACTTACCGAGGACGGCCTCCACGGTGCTGCCAGCGGGGCTGAGCGGGAGGGCGCGGGCGGGGGGCGCGGGCAGCGCAGTGGGGGAGGAGCTGCCAGAGCCGGCGCTGGACGCCAGGCTGGACGCCACGCTGGAGCTCACGCTGGGGGCCGGCGGGTGGATGGCTGCAAACACGGCCAGGTGGTTCTGTTCAAAGACACAACACTGTCAGCACGTGCCCCCTGCGTGGAGGAGGCAGCGCCACGTCAGCACCCTGCAGAAAGCACCACGGGACAGCTGCCAACTACCACGCCCTGGCAAGGCCCGGGGAGAGTTTCCCAGACCCGGAGGGGCTCTGACCGCACTGAGGAGAAACACCAGGACGGGCAGGGCGGCGGGCTATGGTACACCTGGGAAAGGCACAGACACCTCTGTGAAGTGTCTCATGAGCTTTTCTGCAGAAAATGTTTCAGGAGTAGACATTTGCCAGTAAAAATCAATCCGGCAGGTGCAGAAAGATGTGTCAGAGGCCAGGGGCCTGCCAGCCCAAGGGGCAAGCCCTGCAGCAGCTCCCCACACCTCCTGGATCCCCCAACCCAGCTCTCACCCAGGACTGGCTCCTGAGCACCCCGGGGGACCCCTGAGAAATGCCCTCCCAGGGACTTAAAAAGAGACCCAGCACCACTTCTAAAACATCCATAGCGTGGTCCTGTGACCTCATCACCAGGGAAAGTAAAACACGGGGCGACTCACATGATCTGTATTTGGTGGATAATAGATCAAAAGAAAAAGAGCAAACACACAGAGCAGTGCTGAATAAAACCCAGTAACGGGCAGGGCGCTGCACACAAGAAAACGCCCGATACAAATGACCCAGAGCCACCTACGAGGTCACCGCAAAATCGAGCATCAAAAGCTGGATTAGAAAGGGTTTCTGGCCAGGCACAGTGGCTCACGTCTGTAATCCCTGCACTTTGGGAGGCCGAGGTGGGCCGAGGTGGGCGGATTACTGGAGGTCAGGAGTTCGAGACCAGCCTGGCCAACATGGCAAAACGCTGTCTCTACTAAAAATACAAAAAAAAATTAGCCAGGGCCGGGCACGGTGGCTCACACCTGTAATCCCAGCATTTCGGGAGGCCAAGGTGGGTGGATCACTTGAGATCAGGAGTTCGAGACCAGGCTGCTCAATATGGAGAAACCCTGTCTCTACTAAAAATACAAAAAATTAGCCAGGCATTGTGGCAGGCACCTGTCGTCCCAGCTACTCAGGAGGCTGAGGCAGGAGAATCGCTTGAACCCAGGAGGCAGAGATTGCGGTGAGCCAAGATCGCACCACTGCACTGCAGCCTGGGCAACAGAGAGACTCTGTTTCTTAAAAAAAAACGTTGAACCCAGGAGGCAGAGATTGCGGTGAGCCAAGATCGCACCACTGCACTGCAGCCTGGGCAACAGAGACTCTGTTTCTTAAAAAATTTAGAATTGTATACTGAAATATTAGAGTTGAAATGATATGATATTTGGGTTTTCGCTGGGAAAAGTAATGCAAAAAGCAACCTTGGGGTGTGATTCTACTAATTTGTCTGCTAAGTAAAACTGTCCATAATGAAGAATTTTTTTTTTTTTTTTTTTTGAGACGGAGTCTTGCTCTGTCACCCAGGCTGGAGTGCGGTGGCCGGATCTCAGCTCACTGCAAGCTCCGCCTCCCGGGTTCACGCCATTCTCCTGCCTCAGCCTCCCGAGTAGCTGGGACGACAGGCGCCCGCCACCTCGCCCGGCTAGTTTTTTGTATTTTTTTTTAGTAGAGACGGGGTTTCACCGTGTTAGCCAGGATGGTCTCGATCTCCTGACCTCGTGATCCGCCCGTCTCGGCCTCCCAAAGTGCTGGGATTACAGGCTTGAGCCACCGCGCCCGGCCCATAATGAAGAATTTTAACGTGCATTTCCTAAGGGTCAGAAATCAGGCACTGACTAGTCCTCAAGAACGCACCTGGCTCCAGGCTTCTGTGGCCTTGTGGTCCTGTTGCCTGCACTGGCTTCCTTCTGGATAACGGATTTGCTCCTCAGCCCACGGCACAGGAGGTGCACAGAGCCCTCGTGACTGACTCTGAAAACAGTCTCCTCCAGCTGCAAACTCTGGAGACAGCCACCAGAGCTCCCTGCGCAGGTGCAAGATGGGGCCTGCCCCCTCGTCCATAATCCACTTCCCCTACCTAGCCCGGAGACCACTTTCCCTCAAGCCGTGAAAAAAGGAACCACAGTCCACCCCGTCAGCATCAGGGACGGCGGTAACTCCTGCACCCAACACCACAGAGCTACCCAGCCATGCAACACCAGGGACCCTCCAGCCATGCACAGCGCTGCCGACACGCCCCATCAACCCCCCATGGTGAGCCTGGTGACGGGGTTGCTGGAAGCCTCACGTTCTCTAGCAAGCAGCCCAGAAACACGGTGGGTGATTCGAGACCTGGTGCCATCTCAGTGGCAACCCGCCCCCTACCCCTGGCGCTTCCTGTCCCTGCTCCAGAGCCTCAATGTGGCCCCAGGAAAGCTGAGAAGGACCTCCCAACAGACGTTCCAGTGACCCGACATCCAGGAGCGACGCAGATACCTGGGAGCTCCTTGTTCCCCGACAGCTTGGATCAAGGAGGGGACCGACCTTCTCTACCAGCAAAGGACAGGGCCACCCAGGCTGCGGGACCAAGGAGGCAGGCACCAGCAAGGGGTGAGTGACGTGGGGCAGTCTGCCGAGCTCACCGCATCCAGCAGCTGTGACTCAGAACCAAAAGCTCAGGGACGGCAATGCACTGCCCTCCGGGGATGTGGACACTGCACAGCTGCACGGCCCGCAGAAGCCCTCCCCCATCCCCTCCTTGTCCCATCTCTTGGCAGCCCACCCTGTGTCTCAGGGTCTGCCTGGGTCCGTGCTCTGGGGCACAGTCCCTACACACAAGCTGCCCCTGCTCCACCAGGCTGAGGTCCACCATGTCCTGACCCACCAGTAGCCAAGAGGCCACCGCCCGGGTCACAGTCACCCCTGTGGATGTCCTCCCAGCTCCATGACCCCTGCAGGTGTCTCAGTCCTTGCCTGAACCCAACTCCAGAGCATCACCCAGGCCCGGAGGCCACCTCCCAAATAAGGGAGAGCCTAGGGACTATTGCCTGGAAGGGCCCGGGCCCACCAAGAAGCCATGGACAATGGTGGGGTTTGCAGAGCAGGCCTGCCCTGCCCTGGGTCAGACAGGGAGCCTGTGCCCCACACCTGTGTCTGCAGAGAGCCCAAGAACGCAGAAAGCCAGGAGACACCACAGTGCAGGTGCCACATTTGCCTCCAAAGCAGCGCTGGTCTGAGGGCTGGGCACAGGCTGACCCTTGGCTAGGAGGTGGCCTCAGGCTCCCAAAGCACTGCCCGGCCCAGGGTGAGTGCAGCAGCCTGAGAAGCCAAGGCCGCCTCCTTCCTGGGTGTCTGCAGGAGGGACTCCACCCTGGGGGCCTTCCCCAGCCTACTGGAGGCCATAAACCAAGAGGGATCGGAGAGGAAGCCTCAGCACTGAGTGACTCCCAGACCCCATGCTGACCCTGCCCGGGAGCTGGCTGGGGTGATGTGCACACTGTGACTGCAGCCCAAATGATCACCTGAAAATCATCAACATCCAGGTCAGTCCTTGTTCGCCAAGGTACAATGGCCACAGATGACGGGCCTGGTGTAGAGGCCCATCCACAAGAGGGCTGGGCATGGTGAGAGGCGTCAGACGAGAGCCCCATGGGGACGCGGCACCTCCGCTAACACCGGCACCGCCTGCCCCGTGAGGATGCCATGGGCACGCAGCACCTCCGCTAACACCGGCACTGCCTGCCTGGTTTTTCTTCTCTGTATTACGGTGAAATGTAACATTTACTACAGTGGTCACGGGTCGGTGGAGTCCGTGGCATGAATTCCATCCACGCCGCTGTGCAGCCATCACCGCATCCATCCCCAAAACGCCTCATCTCCCAGCCGGAAGCTCTGACCCCAGGAACACCAGCTCCCTCCCCCGCCCCGGCCGCAGCACCCACCCTGCTACCTGCTGTCTGTGAATGCGGCTCCGCACACAGGATCTGCCTTTCAGTACCTGGCTCGTTTCAGTCAGCACAGTGTCTTTGTTATGGACCAAACGTGTCCCCCCCAGATTCCTACATGGAAGCCGTGACCCCCGGAGTGACTAAATTTGGAGATAGGCCTGTGAGGAGTAATTAAGGTGAGATGAGTTCTTAGGCCGGGCGTGGAGGCTCACACCTGTGATCCCAACACTTTGGGAGGCCAGAGCAGGAGGATTGCTTGAGCCCAGGAGTTCAAGACCATCCTGCACAACATAGTAAGACCCCATTTCTAAAAAAATACAAATATTGGCCAAGCCTGGTGGTGTGGGCCTGGGGTCCCAGTGACTCAGGAGGCTGAGGTGGGAGGACTGCTTCAAGCCTGGAAGTCCCGGGCTGCAGTGAGCTGGACTGGGCCGCCGCACCCCACCTGGGTGACAGAGCCAGACCCTGTCTCAAAAAATTCAAGAAACTGTAAAAAACAATGAAATGAGGTGTTACGGGCAGGGCCCTACGCAGCTGCTGTTCCCAGGAAGAGACCCCAGGATGCCCACACACAGAGGAGTGACCCAGAGGATACGGAAGAGGCAGCATCTGCACCTAGGGGGCCTCAGGAGCCAGTTCTGGATAGCTCAAGCTCGGACTCAGCCCCCAGAACTGAAAGAGAATCAGGTGCTGTTGCTTGGGGTGTGGTTTCGCTTTTGGTTTGGTTTGAGATAGGGCCTCACTCTCGCCCAGACTGGAGTGCTCGGCTCCCTGCAACCTCCAACTCCTGGGCTCAAGCAATTCTCCTGCCTCAGCCTCCCAAAGTGCTGGAACCACAGGTGTGAGCTACTATGCCCAACCAAAACTCCCTCATTCATTCATTTATTTAGAGACGGAGTCTCGTTCTGTGTCACCCAGGCTGGAGCGCAGTGGCATGATCTTGGTTCACTGCAACATCTACCTTCCGGCTTCAAGCGATTCTCCTGCCTCAGTTTCCTGAGTAGCTGGGACTACAGGCACGTGCCACCATGCCTGGCTAATATTTTGTATCCTGCCTCAGTTTCCCAAGTAGCTGGGACTACAGGCACGTGCCACCACGCCTGGCTAATATTTTGCATTTTTAGTAGAGATGGGGTTTCACCATGTTGGCCAGGCTGGTCCCGAATTCCTGACCTCGTGATCCCCCCTCCTTGGCCTCTCAAAGTGCTGCGATTACAGGTGTGAGCCACCGCACCAGGCAAGTTCTGCTGTTTAAATGGCCCCATCTGCATCCTTTCCTCGTAGCCCAAGGAAAGTAACACAGATGGGCTCCAAAGGGCCCCTCTTATTTCCCTGAGCAGAAAACAGCAGGAGGTTTTGGCTTTGTTGTTTCCAAGGCGTAACACGAATGTTTCCAACAGACAAACACGGGGGTACCAGGAGAGAGCTAATTCTGTAACAAGCAGATGTTAACCAGACGGCTTTGTGAGCCCAGAGTGGGCGGGACCAAGGATGCGCAAGCGCAGCCCTAACGCAATGTCGCACTGGCAGGCACGAGGGCCGCGGGGAGCCTTGGGGCCTGTACCTGCTTGCTGTCCTGCTCGCTGCCCTTCAGGCCGCCCTCGGCCGGTGAGTCTCTCCGCTTGGCCTGCAACATAAAAAAGAGTCATGTGAGGAAAACACAGGGAGAAAATGTGAATTAAAAATATACATATTCAGGCTGGGCACAGTGGCAGCACTTTGGGAGGCTGAGGCGGGTGAATCATCTGAGGTCAGGAGTTCGAGACCAGCCTGGCCAATGAAAACCTGTCTCCACTAAAAATACCAAAAATAGCCAGGCACAGTGGCACATGCCTGTAGTTTCAGCTACTCGAGAGGTGGAGGCAAAAGAATCACTTGAACCCAGGAGGTGGAGGTTACAGCGAGCCGAGATGGCACCAGTGCACTCCAGCCTGGGCAACAAGAGTGAAACTCCATCTCAAAAAATAAAATTAAAAATTAAAAAAAGGAGAATTGCTTGAACCTGGGAGAATTGCTTGAACCCGGAGGCTGCAGTGAGCCAAGGTTGTACCACTGCACTCCAGCCTGGGTGATAAAGTGAGACTCTGTCTCCAAAAAAAAAAAAAAAAATACACACACACACATAAGTATATATATACACACCTACTCAGCAGTACTTCTGGTTCTTAAAGATCTGTACACACACACACACACACACACAGATGTAAGCTCTGCTCAGAATTTAGACAAATGCTATTTTCTTTTTTGAGACAGGATTTCACTGTCTCCCAGGCTGGAGCACAGTGGTATGACCTCCCTGGCTAAAGCAATCCTCCTGTCTCAGCCTGCCAAGAAGCTGGGAGCACAGGCATTTGCCAGTGGACCCAGTTAATTTTTCAAAGCTTTCTGTAGAGACAGGGTCTCGTTTTGTTGCCCAGGCTGGTCTTGAACTCCTGACCTCAAGCGATTGTCCCACCTCAGCCTCCTAAAGTACTTGGTTTACAGGCGTGAGCCACTGCAATTGGCCAAGGATGCCAAATCTTGAAGGCTTCATGAAACAGAAGAGACGTCTGAATCTGCTGGCTCCCTGTCGGTTCTCCTAAGTTCCATTTCTTTTCTTTTTTTTTTTTTTTCTGAGACAGTCTCCTTCTGTCGTCCAGGCTGGAGCGCAGTGGCGCAATCTCAGCTCACTGCAACCTCCTCCTACTGGGTTCAAGCGATTCTCCTGCCTCAGCCTCTGGAGTAGCTGGGACCGTAGGCATGCACCACCATGCCTGGCTAATTTTTGTATTTTTAGTAGAGATGGTGGTTTCACCATGTTGGCCTGGCTGGTCTCGAACTCCTGACTTCAGGTGATCCACCTGCCTTGGCCTCCCAAAGTGCTGGAATTACAGGCATGGGCCACTGCACCCGGCCCTGAGTTCCATTTCTTACATTTAAACGTGGCTCTCTGACCTTGGGTTGGTCTATGTGAAGGCAGGGTGCCAGCTCTAGACTCCCCGAACCAACCACAGCGTCAAACCCCAAACCGAGCCATGGGCCTAAGGCAGAGGCTCACGTGAAGCTCTAAGACATACACGAGGGGTCAGAGTGTCCCACCCCACAACATGCCACTCTCTGGGAAAAATATTATTTCGAGTTGAAAGCAGCTGAGAAACAGCAAACGCAGGAACAGCTCTCCGCTCCCTTCCTGCCTCAAAGCCGGGCGTGAACTCCCTCTGTGAAGGTGCCCTCTCCCCTCTCCACACCAGCAGGAGAGGCTGTGTAACCAACCTCACTGAAGTGACTCTTATCTTCCACCAGTCTCCCCCAGAGCCTTACCTTCCTAGGAGCCCAACCCCCTCTTCCCCCCTCTTTTCTTTGAAAGAGTCTCGCTCTGTCACCAGACTGGAATGAAATGGTGGGATCTCAGCTTACCACAACCTCCGTCTCCTGGGTTCAAGCAATTCTCCTGCCTCAGCCTCCTGAGTAGCTGGGATTACAGGCATCCACCACCACACCCAGTTAATTTTTGTATTTTTAGGAGAGACGGGGTTTCACCATGTTGGCCAGAATGGTCTCAAACTCCTGACCTCAGGTGATCCGCCCGCCTCAGCCTCCCGAAGTGCTGGGATGACAGGCATGAGCCACCGCCCCCGGCCTAGTGGCAAGGATTTTCTAGACTCTTCTAGAAGAGCCACAAACACCACAGACTGCCCGTGACCACATTGCTGAAAACTCATATCCATCTATATCCCTAACAGTTCAATTAAACCAAAGGACACTTGGTATTGTCCCGGGAACACTGTTCACTTACGTTTCCCGGCTGGCCGCTGCCCGTGGAGGCAGGACTCGTGAGGTGGAGGTCGCGGCAGCCCCAGTCATTCACCATCCCCAGGCTCTCTGCAAGGACAGGAGCAGCAGGCTCTGAGGGCCACTGGTGGGTGACAGGAACACGCAGAAGTCTCTGCACCACATGTCAGGGCCGAGCGTGCACGGCCTTGTCACAATCATCCCTCAGGGAGGCAGCAGAGGACGGCTGGGCAATGATAGGGGACGCTCAGGGCAACCAGACCCTCAGGCCTTAGACCAGTGTTTCATGTTTTTACCAGGAAAAGCAATGTTTTTTCTGGTAAAAATATTATTGAGATGGAGTCTCACTCTGTCGCCCAGGCTGGAGTGCAGTGGCCGATCTCAGCTCACTGCAAGCTCCACCTCCCGGTTTCACGCCATTCTCCTGCCTCAGCCTCCCGAGTAGCTGGGACTACAGGCGCCCGCCACCGCGCCCGGCTAGTTTTTTGTATTTTTTTAGTAGAGACGGGGTTTCACCATGTTAGCCAGGATGGTCTCGATCTCCTGACCTCGTGATCCGCCCGTCTCGGCCTCCCAAAGTGCTAGGATTACAGGCTTGAGCCACCGCGCCCGGCCGAAAAGCAATGTTTAAAATGTGAACAAGAAGAGCTGCCCTCCCTACTAAAATCAAAAACAAAGGGAAATTTGAGCTTGCGACCACACGCAGAAAACCCGGAACCCAAGCCCCCGGCTTCGAGGCGGCGGCCGCGCGGGTTCCCACTGGGGCTTGTTTCTGCTGCTGGGAACTTATTGGGGACCACGTGATGGCCAAAGCTAAGCCCTCATCCTCTGGACAGCGGACGGCTCTGGAAAGCTCGGGCTGAGCCCGAGGTGGTGTTCCTGGGTGGGCGCCCGGCAAGATGGCAGTCTCAGGGCAAGGCCCAGGCAGTGGGGGGCAGAAGGACCCAGCTTGGATGCCCAGGAGGCAGGTGGAGGCGCCAGCCGGCCCACACGAGGACTCGGCCTCCACGCTCGGGGCCCCATCGTGCCTGGACACAGGGTCCCTGCAGGTTCCCCCTGGCCTGGCCCACACTGGCGTGCAGGGAACCCAGCCTCATGTGGCACAAACACCCCAGGGAGCCTCCATGGGCATGTCAGGGACCCCCCCCACCCCCAACCACAGTGCTGAGCTCCCGCCCGTCTTCCAG